AAACCATTCAACCTTAGACCAACAAAAGATGTGACTATGGCCAACGACATCGTCAAACATAGACATGTACAAGTGTTCTGAGAGGTAAAATAGGCAGTTTTATACTCTAAAATGAACTTTATGACAAAGTAATGGGAAACTCACAGAAAATTGGTCTGAGGAAAAGTCATGGAAATCAAGATCGTATAAGAGTGATTTTGATGGTGATTATGGATAGTGGTTATGGCAGTCTTCCCATTTATTATACCAAACAAATTTTCTGTGCAGAGTGACATCAAATGCCATGGAAATTGTCATATTTTAGTTCTGGAAAGTGCAGGAAAGGTCACTGAATTTGATTTTCAGATTTCGAGAGAATCTTTCTTGTAACAATCAGGGCCCAATTTCTTGGCGCTGCTTAGCACGTGATTTCACACTTGCAGAGACTGAGCATTTCATGTATACCGTAAACAGTAAGTACATGTACATGCAAACTTTGGAGGAGAGATTTGCTAAAACTCTGCACGCAACCGTTAGCACAGCCACTCCGAGCAATGCCATGAAATAGTGCTCAAGGATTTTTCTGCTAAAGTTAGCACGATTTTTCTTCTGACTGTGTTAAGAAACCCCATGAAATTGGGCCCTGACCCCACCCAGCCTGTTACACTCTGCACTCCCCAGCACTGTATGGTTTTATGGATTTAACAGTGACCCACAGTAAGAGTTTGTGTGGTGATGGGTTGAAACGTGGATGTTTTGCTCATTTGGGGAAAACATTATTATTACAGTGCGACTGAAAAACCTTAGGTGACCTTTTCTTTTTGTTTTTTGTCATTTTTCCGTGTTTAGATTTGGGAAGGCCTCATTGCCAGGTGAATGTACTGCCATGGCTGCCTACGTGAACATTGAGGCTGCATGGTTAGCGTCATGGTGCGAGTGGACTGACCGATGAAATCTCCAAAGTGAAGAGGCAGATTACATCATAAGTAGCACAGGTAAGAGTCCTGTGTCTCATATCATTGCTGGCATTCTGCAAGGATGAATCCAGTGAAGGGGGAGGGGCCAATTGGGGTCATGACCAAAAAAGGAGCAAAAATTGTTTTCATTGGAAAAAAAATGAAAGGATCCTTTTGGTCGATTTGATTTCCCTTCTTTTGAAAAGTGGCAATGTAACCTAACCCCTCGAACAACTTAAAAAAAAAAAAATTTGGCCCTAGAATCAAGTTTGATCCCGCTCCCCGAAAAAAATATTAGGTCCTGGATCCACCCTTGGGTGCTTGTGGCTAGCTTTTAGGGCA